ATCATGTTTTTGGACCACTTATAGGGACTAGTGCTTGGTCTAATGTGAAGTAATTTCAAGACACACAGAGAGAGACCTCTAATAACTTGGGAGGACAGGAGAGGTTGCATGAGAGAAGTGGCAGCTGCCTATGCCTTGAGGAAGCCAGGGAGCCTATGAGGCAGAAGTGAGAAAGCAGTAAGTGCATGTCTTTGAGGGCAAGGACTATTTGTGTTTTTTCCTTGCATCCCCAGGGCTTCTGGCATATAATAATGATTAATAAATGCTTGTTTATTGATTCAGTCCATATATGGGGGACCAGTTATGCAATTGTAGAGAATGAAGGGATGGAATATTGGGTATAGGTAACAGCTAACAGCTGAGTTCTTGTAGGAAGGGAGAATTCATGAAGGGGATGATGTGACTTTAGTCTGGACAGGAAGGCTCTGTCCTAATTATGTAGGACCTTAAATGCCAGGCTGAAAATTTTGAATTTCATTTTAAAGGTGTAAGGCATTAGATATATGAGTAGGGATGTGTGTATGTTGATATATGACATGATCAAACCTGTGCTTTAAAAATGTCAATTTGTCAGTAGTATGGAGAATGAATTCACAAAGGCAGAGACTGGAATTGAAGAGACTGATTAGGAGGCTACTGAAATAGTCCAGATTAGAGGGGATGGGGGTCTACACTAGGAGAAAGGCTGGGTCCGTAGAGAGAAAAGGATGGATTTTAGAGGTTTTTTGGAGGTAGAATAGACAAGACTCGGCAACTGATTTGGTTAAGGAAATGGTAGAAGGTGAAGATGACTCTAAGGTATGAGCCTAGGTGACTGGAAAGATAGTGGTACCCTTAACAGGAATAGGGAAGTGTGGGAAAGGGATGGGTTTGGGGATAAACATGAGTGCCACTTTTGGATATATTGAATTGGAGGTGCCTATTGGGTATGTAGATGGGGATGCTCATCAAGGAAATTGGTAATATGGGACTAGATTTCAGAAGAAAGATTAGGGGTGGTTATATACATTTGGGAGTCTGCAGAGGTGATAATTGAATACATGGGAGTTGAAGAGATCACCAAGATAGAAAATGTAGAGAAAATGGACAGAAGCTGGGGAATGTGCACTCTAGAATGAGATGATGAACCAGCAAAAGAAGCTGAGAAGGAATAGTCAAACAAGTAGGAAGAAAGAATAGCACAGTAACTGTTAGAGAGGTGCTTAATAAATCCTTTTTCATTGATTGAATGGTCATTCAATAAAGGAGGAAGGATTTATTACATACCTAGGTAACAGAATGAAGCCTGAGAAAATGGATTGAACAGTTAAGAGAATATAACCTTGGGAGAAGGTAGTTTCAATCAAGTGGTAAAGTCAGAAATAATATTAGGAAGGTATTGAGAAATGAATGAAAAGTGAGGAAATTGACACAGGGAGTATAGATTACCTTCTAAGAATTCAGCTGGGGTGAAAGATAAAAGCCTATAGTGTGAGGGGATGGCAGTCAGGTGAATGGGTTTTTTTTTTGTTGTTTTGTTTTGTTTTTAGATGGGGGAGATTGGGCATATTTGTAGGCATCTGGAAAAGAATTTGTGGATTAGGGGAGATTGTCATGGGGTCGGGGAGAGAGACAGACAGAGACAGAGAGACAGAAACAGAGAGAGATAATGTGAGCAAACTCTCAGATGAGATGAGAGATTTCAGGAGTCAAGTAGGAGAGTTAATTGGCTTTGGAAGGAAGAGGGCTACTTTTGTCAGAGAAGAGATTGGAGGATGAAAAAAGAAAGGGTAGAGGGGAAGAGTTGAGGACCCTGGAGTTACTTAGGCACCTTGGGTTTGAAGACCTAGGAAAGGTTTGGAATAGCAGTTGTGGAGAGTGTGATAAAGGGTCAATCAGGGAATATAGAGCTAGCATACCAAATAACTATGAAATAAATAAGCTATGAAAGTCCCTTTGAAATTTCAAATGCTATGCATATGCAAAAGCTTAATTATGTGTCATTCCCCAAAAATCTCCTTTATTCAGAAAGGATGAGGAATGGGGTGTTCTAATTTACAATACAGCTTTATTTGAATTTCCAGTTTTCTAAGAATCAGAATACTGTACAACAAAAATTAAAAAGCCCTTAAGGAGCTTACAGTGTTGTTGGGGGAGATATATTTGGAGAAATTAAAGCTATGATATGTCCAGTGGTTGTACATAAAATTTGCTGCAGAAAGGGAGAGATCCCTGTGGACCAGAGTAAGGAGGTGAGGCTTCAATTGGGCCTTAAACTATGGGCAGGGCTCAGATAAGCAAAGAGGAGCGGGAAGGTGATTTTAGGTGGGAGGGAATGGCCTGAGCCCAGGCCTGGGGCCAGAATTGTGATATATTAGGGAGAAGGGGGCAATAAAGAAATCAGTGATGTTCTTCTATCCTTAAATGTTTGCAGGAAAAAAGATTATACGTAGTCTTTCTCCCTCACTACTTCTAGTGTCTGGTTAGCATTCTTCCTTATGTACAACTTTGGCTATGATCCATTCCTTTTTAGAAAAGAAGGGCAGGTGATTACTTCAATAAATCACCCTTCAGTGACTTCACACTACCTTACAAAGACTGGGTCCTTCTGCACAACTTTGGAGAACAGACAGGAACCAAGTTAGAAACTAGGGTATTTCTAGGAAATTCTAGAGACAAGTGCTTCTGGAATGCTTAGGCAAGTCGTCCTCCCCCTCCCACTTCTCCCTGGCAATCTTCCCGATTGATAGAAAGATAAAAGTATCATCTGCAGGGGTTCTTAACCTGGGGTCCATGAATTTTTTTTTTGTTTTGATAACTATTTAATCTGTTATCTGTATGGTATTTTATGCATTTAAAAACATTATCCTGAGAAGGGGTCACCGAAGGTGTTACTGCACTGCCAAAGTGGTCCAGGACACAAAAATAGATAAGACCCCCATGATTAGAATTTAGCTCTTATTTAAAAGGTCATTGTCCTAATGACCCTTTTTTCCCCCAATGACCCTAAGTCTGAGGAGCCAGGGCAAAGTGGGACCCCCATATTTGGGGCATTACAACTTAGACTTGACTTTTCACAAATTAGAGCTCAGATGGGCTACCTCAGTTCTGTATGGAGAAATTCAGAACCTGTGAGATCCTACTTTGAGGGACTCTCCAGAGTCAGATGATTCAAATGCTGACAAGGTGGAGGAATGACAGGTATTGATCGGTGTATTATGATATTTATCTCTTTTGACCTGTCACCCCACCACATACACAGTGTAAGTAGGTCCTTAATACACACTTGTTGAATGAATGACTATCCAAATGAATAGCAATTTGAAGAAAGGCCTTAATGGAAGAACTCAGGATTTCCATGATGACACGGGTCAAAAACTTGCAGAACAGAAAGGCCCAGCTGATTGAAAAGAGGCCCATTACTTTTCATTCCCCTCTGCAGCTTCAATACGTACTCGCTGCCCAGGCTCCTCAGAGCTGGGAGAGCAGGCGTGCGAGGTTGCCTGCTGCAGCCGCCCCCGTCAGCACCGTGACAGCGCGGGCGAGCTAGTGTAGCTGCGTGCTCCCCTTTTCCGCCGGGCTCCCGGGCGCCCCTTCTATGGGCTCCGCCCCCCTTGGAACGTTGCAACGTCGGAGCGTTCCACCGGTTGCTACATCGTAGCGAGGGGCGGGGCGCCTGTCAGGGAAGCCGGGCGGGCGGGCTGGGGCTGCGGCTCTGCCGTGCCAGCGCCAGACCCGCCGCCCCGCGCCTTCCCCAGCTCCGCGCCACACTTTCCTCGGCCCCACATCTGCTCTCCGGCCCCGGTCCTCGGCTTCCCGCCGTGCCCCTCCGTCACCCAGTAATGGAATTGCTGTGCTCTGAGGGGGCTCGGCGGACGCCCCGGGCCGGGCCGGACCCTCGGCTACTGGGGGACCAGCGCGTCCTGCAGAGCTTGCTCCGCCTAGAGGAGCGCTACGTTCCCCGCGCCTCCTACTTTCAGTGCGTGCAGAGGGAGCTCAAGCCTCACATGCGGAAGATGCTGGCATACTGGATGCTGGAGGTACCGACCGACCAGGACCCCCCGATCCCCCTTTCCCCTTTGCCCTCTCCCCTGTCCATGCTCCGGATACCTGGGCGGTCTGAATGGTTCGGACTACACTGACCGCAGCCAATTAGAGTGCCCCTCGACCCCTGTATCCTGGCCCTCTGACCCTGGCATCGTGCTCACCCAGCTCCGTATTGCCCTCTTCCACCATCCCTAACCCCCTTCAGCTTCCAAGTTATTTTACTCCATGACTCTGCTTATTCGCATGGAGCCAGGACAGCTGCGCCCCAGGAGTGGTTGGGGTGCAAGGAATATTGAGTCTTCCACTTCACCCCGTGTCTCCCTTCCCCCGTCCCTAAACTATTCCCTTTGCTATGCCGCCTCGGGCTCCTCTCCGCCCTCCCCCCAATCCCAGGGCCGGTTCCTGTCCCTGGTTGCGGGGTGGGGGTGGGGGGTGGGGGGCGGTTCCGGCAGACAGGGAAATGAAAAGTGCGGGAGGAGGGGGCAGGAGTGTCTCCTCCCTTCCCCCGGGTGGGTGTGTGGAGGGGGGGCGGGTCCCCATTCTCCCGCCATCGCCGGTGCCTCTTCCGCCGCGCGCTCTGCTTCCCCCACCCCCCCACAGTCAGGGGGCCCGGGACAGGGGGAAGGAAAAAGGCTCGATGTGGAGTCACACCGGAGTCATCCTGCTGCTCTCCCGGGGGCAAGGTCCAGATTAAGACAGGCTAAAGGAGGGGCCCCTCGGACCTGCACCCACAGGGAAAGGAGAGAGTAGGCAACCCTGAGGAAGTGAGGGACCCCTGGTGGAATGGGGAAGAAGGGGGCCCGATTTGGGAAAGGGTGCAGCCTCCTCCCCCATCGGTTCTTTTGGTCACCTTTCTTTTTTCGTTTTCTCTGCTAGTCTTCTCAGGTTCTCCAGCCCCTTTCCTTACCTCCCGAGCCCTTAAGCCCCCACCCCTTTCCTTCCGGCCCCAACAGCCACTGTCCCCTCTCCCCAAGGTGTGCGAGGAGCAGCGATGTGAGGAGGAGGTCTTCCCCCTGGCGATGAACTACCTGGACCGCTACCTGTCCTGTGTCCCAACCCGCAAGTGCCACCTGCAGCTTTTGGGTGCAGTGTGCATGCTGTTGGCCTCCAAACTCCGGGAGACCACACCATTGACCATGGAGAAGCTATGTATCTACACCGACCACTCCGTCACACCCCATCAGCTCCGGGTAACATGCACAGGCACCTCTACTGCCCCTGCCCCCTCCAGATAGCTATACTTATTCTGTTCATCTTCCTCCCAATTCCCTCCTTACACACAGGAGCAGTCTGGAGGGGAAAGTTGTAGAACCTATGACTGACAAAAGTCTTTGCTATGACCTGTCCTAAGAAAGACCATGGTTGTGGTCATGTTCTTTACTGGCTAAGAGGATCTGGGTTGAATCAATCCACAGGGACAGTAGGCAGTAGACAGGGTAACCCCCCAGCACCAACATCAGCCATCCCACTGAACTCTTCCTTCTGTGGGATTATTCCATAGGTTGTTGCTTCTTGGTTCTTTTTCAGAGCCAGAAAGGTATTTCAGATGTTGTCTTTGCTTGGCTAGTAATGTTCTTCTGAATCTCTCCTTGTTTGTATAGTCAAAGGGAGTTCTTTGCCAGAGAATTTGCAGGGACTTAAATCAGGAGATCTGGATCTAGTTTAACATTAGCTGTGAGACTATGGGCAGACAAATCATTTAAACCACTCTGAGCCTCAGTTTCCTTATTTGTAAAATGAAGACACTGAGTATTTATATTTACCAACCTCACAGGATTGTGGGAAGTCTTTTTATGTTTGTTTTGTTTTGTTTTTTGGTAAACCTTAAAGTGGTAAAGAAATGTGGAGTTGTTATTAGTACTCCTGCTTCCTCCTTCTTTCAAGCCCTCCTCCCCCTCTCTGTCCTTTAGTGAGACCAGTTCAATCCAGTAGGGGTAGTGACTTCTTGGTGACTTGCACTTCCCAAGGTAGGATTTAGTATTTGTCATAATTTAGATTTGACCTTGTTAGAGAAAAGAAAATCTTCAGAGATTAAAGTCAGAATCTGGAAGTGGGGACGGCACTAATTAAGGCCTGAGGTGCTTCATTTCACCCTCTTTCTAAGCCAGGAAGACAAGTCCAGCCCAGCCCTTCATTGTCTACTTCTTCTCACACACACCTTAGGGACTCTGTCCCCTGCAGAGCTGGTCTAGTGCTAGATAGAAAAAAAAAAATACCCCATTGCCTAAGGTAAGAGCAGGGTAGCCTGGGAGGAGAGCTGCAGCTGCTTCCGATGTGATAATGATGCTCCCCTTCTGGCTGCCCCTCCCATTCCGACCACTGGTCTTTCATAACTTTGTGGGGAGAGTTCTGCTACCTCTGTATTTCGGGATGCGGCTCCCTGGCCTCTTGCTGGGAACTGTGTGGGACTGTTATGATTCTCTCTTCTCTTGACTTGGGGGAGAGTAAGGACTGAAATGTGAGGGGGAAGAAGAGAGAGCCCTCTAGTTCTCTAGATCCTCAAGAAAGGTGAGAATGGTGAGTGCTAGTCCCTTTGGATCTGGATGGAGTCATTAAACTCTTGTGGTTAGTGCAAAATAGGGGCAAATTGAGGAAGGAGGGGGAGAGGAGGGTTTGTGCATGACCCCTCCAGAGTTGATCTGCTGCCTTTTATCCTGACCCTGGCTCAAGTTCCCAGGGTCTGTATATACAGGGTCTGTATAGGGGAAGGCCATATAAGTGCCTACTATGCCACTAAGGCTTCAAAGTGTTTGAGCTGACTGGGTGGATTGGCAAAGGGACCTCAGGGTTTGGCCCTGAGTGGCTGAGTGAGTGGTAGGGGAGAGCTGGCTTTCTCTTCTTGGGTCAGGTTCCAAGACAGAAAGAAGAAATTGGGAGTGGAGTTGGGGAAAGAAAGTGGACCAAATGGCCCTTTGGGATGTGTCTTGAGTTTTTTGGGAGCCACTTCTGTCCTGGAACAGATTGGTTTTTGAGGTGTTGTGAGGGTGGAGGAGCTGCTTATTTTGTTGAGGTCTTTGGAGATTGTCGGCTTGCAGATAGAGATAACAAGCCACATTGATATAGGGCTTTAATGTTGGCAAAGCAGGTAATGTGAATACTGAGACTCAGCTGGGGGATATGACATGCCCAGGTTCACATAGCTAGTGTCAGAACTAAGGTTTGAGCTAAAGTCTCCTAACTCCTTGGCGTCCACTACTTTTTCTGCTTCACCATTCTGGGTAGTAATTAGAATAATAACTAATATTTATATAGTGCCTGAAGGTTACAAAGCATATATATTTATGTATCTATATGTATACATACATACACATACACATATGTATAACACACACATATATATGCATGTACACATGTATAATTTTATTTGGGTAAGGGTAAGCAGGATACAGGAAATTAGGATGAGGTCATAAATTTGTCAGAAGAGACAAAAATATTCCCTACTCATACCCCTCTTCCTGAGTAGGGGAGAAGAGTCATGCTAAAATTATCTCTGAAGGCCTAGCCTAAACTCAAAGAATGTCAGAGTTGGAAAGGTTATGTGAATCAATCTCTTCCTTTAGTAGATGAGGATATTTGAGAGCTAGGGAGGTAAAGGACTTGCTGAAAGTTCTCTAGGTAAGTCAAGGGCGGAGTTGGCTGAGGTGGGCCAGGACAGTGCTTTTCCCATTATACCCTGCTGCCTTAAAAGTGAAGTTTTTTTTCAGGAGCTCTCAGCTGCTTTGGGAGTGACTGGGGGATTCCACTTCTAAGCACTCCTGAAAGGGCATTAGATAGCTGCCCTTTCCAATTCTCAGGAATATTTCTAGTTCTCTCTTGACTTTCACATAGGGGAATAGAGTCCTAAGCCTCAGGTCAACATTTCTTTGTGGGGGCCAGAGAGCAGCTTTTGGCTTGATTCATTGTAAGCCAGGAAGGTCTTGGCTTGGTACTGTGGTGGGGTGGGGATAGAGTGAGGCGAATTCTAGGCTGAGTTAGGGAATCGGTGAGCTGTGGCTAGCTGCCAGGAGGAAGAGGCCTGGAGAGGGGTGGGGGCTGAGGGTGTGTGTTTGTCGGGGGGGGGGGGGGGGGTTTGCCATTTCTGTTTCAGTAAGGGGTCAAACCCATAAGTTTCTTCCTGAGATAAAAATGGTGAAGAAATCCTCGTGTGCAATTCGGAAATGGGGCCAGGGCTGGGAACATGAGACAAGAGGATTGGGGAGAGGAGGGCAGATGGGAGTGTCCTGACCAAGAGTGTCTTGGTTGAAGCGACTGTCTTTGAGAGAAACTTCCAAAGCAAATTCCCCACAGCTCTCTCAAATACTCACGGTCTGTATCCCTGGTAGCAAGTTGGCACACTTGGTAACAGGAGAGCTTTCTGCTTCCTCACCTGGTATCATTTCTGCCTAGAGCTGCTCTGCCCTCTGGCTGTGATGGATGGGTGGTGCCCACCTCCTTTTGTGAGCATGCTGGGTTAGATTTACTGTTTCTGAAAGCACTGGGTCCTATTTCCCTTGGACTCCCACAGTCGCCATGGGGGTCCTTGTCACCCTTCTGCCCCTCCCTAACCCCTGACCCTCAAACCCCACTATGGGGATGTGGGTTGGGTTGGGCAACTGCTCCTTTGAGGAACCTCAGGGGGCAGCTGGGCTGCTGTGTCATGGGATGGGTAGCTTTGGGGCTGTCTTGAGCGAACCTGAACAATGTCTTATTTCTTCAGTGTCTGTGGAGGTGAGGGAAGGGAATCAGTACTCTGCCTCCTTCTACTTGTCTGACCACTACCCCTAACTCCACACTGTCTTGAAGTTGTGAAGATCTGTGCTCTGGCAAAGTCTTATTCCCCCACAAAGCCTGTCCTGGTACCTCATCTGAGACATACAGGGCTCTGCTCCATTCCAGAAGTGGCTGTGCTTAATAGGGGTATGAGGCAGTATTTTCCATAAGTTGGAGAAGTGCCTTGAAGCTCAGAAAAGAAGCAGGGCATGCCTGAATTATTCCCACCCTGAGAAAGAATATTTCAGCATTCCAGCATGCATCTGCTTCCCAGTTTGCCCCATGTTTCCTAGGCTCTCCCTAGGTAGAATGACCTGATCTCTCTTCCTAGTCAAGGATTAGGTCATGCCATCCCATTCGATCCCAGTCACTAAGTCTTACCTGCTCTCTTCCCTGACTGCTGCTAGGACTGGGAAGTGATTGTCCTAGGGAGGCTCAAGTGGGACCTAGCCGCTGTGATTGCTCACGACTTCCTGGCACTGATTCTACACCGGCTTCCAGTGCCCCTGGACCGACGGGCATTGGTCAAGAAGCATGCCCAGACATTTCTGGCCCTTTGTGCCACAGGTGAGACCCCCTTTCCCTTCTCCTGTACCTTGGCCTTGCTGTCTGTACCAGTTGGGATTGAAGTAGATGTGGGGAAGGCAGCATGGGTCTTCTTCCTCCAGAATTTTTGTTTTAGGATTAGATGCTCCACACGCACCTCCTATCATCCCATCTCTAACTCTGCCACTAGAGAGGGCTATTTTTCTCTTACAAAAAACACCATGTTGTCCAATGAGTGCCTGAGTCTGATTATCTCTAGGGAAAGAGCCCACAATCTTCCTCTCTTACAAGTGTTTGATGTTGCTAAATAGTTCCCATCTAACCATCCCCAAAGTTTTCTTGCTTCCCTGAGGCAGGAGAGTATTTGCTTTCTGGGGGTTGCTGTGACCTCATTCCCCACAAATAACCCCCATCCCCAATCTCTTTCTAGATTATACTTTTGCTATGTATCCACCCTCCATGATTGCGACTGGCAGCATTGGAGCTGCCGTGCAGGGCCTGGCTGCCTGCCCCTTGTCTTCGGATGAGCTGACAGAGCTGTTGGCAGGGATCACAGGCACTGACGTGGTGAGTGCCGGGCAACAGAGGTGGGGTCTGTTGTTCAGTGATCCCCACATCAGACCAGCTCCGGAGGTGGTGTTCTTAGAGCAGCCAGCAGGGGGAGATGCCCTTCAAATAGCCAGGATCTCCGACTCTGCTATGGCTGAATAAGTAACTTCATCTCCGTTCCCCAGGGAGGGTTGGAAGCTTCCAATCTCCTGCCCTGTCTTGGGGGAAAAAAACAAACACATCCCAGGTGGCCCACTTCTAAGCCTAAAAGGCCCTCTCTCTATTATCTCCCCTCCTTCCCAGGGACTGTGGTGAAGGGAGGAGAATTCAGCACTACTCTTGCTTGCCACATCCTCTTGTCAGTTTCTGAGAATCGATGGCAGATTCCTGGGGATGGGCTGTGACCTGAGCCTGCCTTGTTTCACATCCCCCCTTTCAAATGTGGTAATAATAATAATAATAATAATGATAATAGCAACTGGGATTTAAATAGCATGCTTTATACACATTATTTTCTTTGATCCTTAAAACCCTTCAGGGTAGATGATGTTATTCCCAGTTTAGAGATAAGGAAACTGAGGCTGAGAAGTTAGGTGACTTGGAAATGGTCACACAGCTGGTAAGTGTCTGAACTGGGTTACAAACCTGTGACTGGCCTTGCAGTCAGGATTACTGGGTTTCAAACCCTCCTTCGGATATTTACTAGCTGTCACCATAGGTAAGTCATTTAAACACTGTAAGCCTCAGTCTACTCATCTGTACAATGGGGATATATCCCCAGGACCAAACTCAAAAGGTTGTTGTATGGCTCAAATTTGAAAAACACTCAAAAGTATTTTGCAAATGTTAAAGTGCTACACAGTCAGTTACTATCATCCACTATACCATAATTCTTCTTAGCTCACCCTCCACCAGCCAGAGCAAATGGGAACACATAAGAGAAGGCTGGAAGTGACCTTCTTTCCCCTTCAGAGCCTTGTACCCTTCTCAGTTTACCTCCCTTTGCCCTTTTTAACTGTTCTTTCTCTTTGTCCTAACCCCAGGATTGCCTGCGTGCATGCCAGGAGCAGATTGAAGCCGCTCTAAGGGAAAGCCTTCGGGAGGCTGCCCAGGACACAGCAGTCACAGTCCCTAAAGCTCCAGAATATTCTGGAAACCAGGAGCCTAGTCAGACCAGCACCCCAACAGAAGTCACAGCCGTTCACTTGTAACTCCTCCCTTGCTCTTCCCCATCCCTTCTCATGGGCCACACAAGGGAGGAAGGAACAGCAAAGATGGTCAGTCTAGCCCAATCCCAACCCCAGCCCAGCCCAGCCTCTGCTCCGAGAATCAACTTTGCCATCAGCTGGATGTCCAGGCCCAGGGAACCATGGCTCCTGCTGAGCCAGAGTTTGAGAGGGGGCTGATTCTGCCCCATGTGTGGGCCTGCCTAGTTGGCGAGATAGGGAGCTAGCTAAGCTCTTCCTTCTCATTTTGTTTTTGCCAGTTTCTCTGTCAGTAGTTTGATCAGACCAAGGCAAAATTGTTTAGTTGGCTCTTCCCTCCCCCAAAGGCATTAATTACCTTTCCTGCAACACCACTAGGGGTATTTGCATTTAGACTTGAAGACTTAATTCCAAGACTGCCAAGTGCTGGGAGGAAAAAATTCAGGCTGGGGGTGGGGATCCTCCCTGGAATCTTTTGGTGTAGCATAAAGCCAGCCCTGGGGAAGAGAAAGGCTCAGGCCTCATTCTTGGGGGGGGCCTGCAGCCTGATTCCTCCTTGAATTGCTTCCTGCTCAGCTTGCCAGGTGTGCATCCTGATATCAAGTCAGGAATGGGGGGGTGGGGGAAAGGCTCCATGGATTAATTTATTATGACAAGGTGCAACAAAGTGCTCAGAGTACAACGTAGGAGGGGAGGGGGAGCCTTCCTCTGCCCTCTAGAAAATGACCCTCTTGGTCGACATGCCTCTTCCCACCTTCCTCCCATCCCATCCCCCGAACTTGGCTGGAAAGACTTAGTGCCAAAGATGCTGCTACAGCCTAGGGGGGAAGAGGGGGGGAAGAGAGGGGCTGCAAATCCATTTTCCTCTAGCCCTGCTCTTTGACTGTGTGGAAAAGATGACTGGACTCTAGGGGTAACTAAGCCTCTCCCAGGAGAGGAAGGCAGACCCTGTTCTCTGCACAGGTGTCCCTGGGGCCATAACTCTGGTCCAGTAGGGGCACCCCAGGGTCTTCAAGCTACCTGAATAAAGATTCTGGATCACACCAAGTTTCAGGTCTTTCATGAACTAATTAGCTGGGGGATGTGTTGGGGAAGGGGTAGTTTGCTTCTTGGATAGGAGTCCAAGGAGTGGGCAGGAACAGAAGCAATGGATTTCATTACTCAGGAGGGGGCCATGGAGCCTGAAAGAGGCTCAGACTGGGCTTTCTTTGACCAGGGCCCCTCACTCCTTGCCATACCCGTCTGGAGCTAGCTAAGGAATTGTTTCCATTGTAGCTCTAGTATATAGCCCATAGCTCCAGACTGACCGACCCCCTTTTAACCCCAATCTGCCAAGTCTCTAGGGAAAAAAGTCTGCCTACAGAATATGTTCTTACATGATCTGAGGTCCATTCCAACCCTGAGATCTCCAGATTCCTCAGTAAGGACAGGGCATGGAAGCCTAGGCCATACTTAATGACCTAGTGTACCTAGGTTCCTGTCTTCCCAAGTCTTCTCCAAGGTAAAACAGTTGCTTATAACCTACAGTAAAGAAAGGGGAAGATTCACAGAAACCTCTCCTAAGCTAATTTGCAAGGATGGCTATGGCAGAGCTGGGGAAGAATCCAGCCCTGATGGGAGGTATAAATGATACCTCAATCAAGACAGCAGTTTGAAAAACACCTTGAGGTTTTGGTGGCCTTGCAAGTTCAATATAGGTCAGCAAGTGTGATGTGGCAGCCAAGCAAGCTAATGTGGTCTTGGCCTGTGTGAAAAGCAGCACAGTTCCTAGGGCTAAGGATGCACCAGTGTCTCCATACTTGGGTCCTGGATACCTTCATCTGCAGTATGTGTAGAGTTGGAAAGCATCTGGGGTCACCAGGATTCTGAAGGGCCTTAGAGTTCATGTGATACAAGAGCCGGCTGAAGCAACTGGGGATATTTAAAGTAGAGGAGACTCGGGAAGATACCCAAATATACATTTAACTCTTTGCAACTTCTACTGGTCCCTGGGGCTAAACAGAACAAGTCAGCCCATTAAATGCTGGAAATTATAAAGAATGTGTATCTTGAAAAAGAAGAAAGTGGGGAGTGTGGAAGTGTGGCAGGAAGGTGGCACAGAGCTGTCTTCAAGTATCTAAAGGGACCCACCGTCATCATTTTGTTTGGCCCCACAGGGCAACCAAGAGAAATGGGTGGAAGCCACCAAGAGAAATGGGTGGAAGCCACAAAGAGGCAAATTTAAGGTGGATTTCCTAAGGTGGAGGAGGCTGATTAGGGAGCTGATGGTTACCACTGACCAGGTCTTTAAACAGAAGGTCAATGACCATTTGTTATATATAGAGGCCAGATGACCATTAAGGTCTACTCCAATGCTAAATTTCTGTGACTACGAGCAGCAAAGAAGCCCGAATTTGTCTCAGTACTATCCTCACTTCATGGACACCTTGTTCTTACCTAAAGATTGTGGAGGGGAAGGGAGGAGTAGGGAGGGTCTATGACAAGGACAATGTGACCAATGAGATAAATACACAGCTTTTTTTTTGTGTTCACAAACGGCATCCACCTGCTTCAGCTGCTAACTTCTTCCACCATGCCACAAAGCGAGTCAGGGTGTAACTGTACTAGTGAGGTTCTACACCAGAACAGGACTTGGGGAAGTTCTGTCAGGCACTTAGGCCACTATAATTCAAGTCTACTCAGGGAGATCATAGCACTTCAGTTTTGTCCTTTAGGTGCCCCCAAGTCACACAGTCCTAGGAGCCATGAAAAAATCATAGAACAGTTCATGTGTCATCTCTCCCTACCCCTACCAAAATGGGGAAGGTAGCCATGTTCCTCAGGAACCTCAGTCCATATTCATAGAGGGCCCTTCCACATCTCGGGCAGTAGCACTGAGCAGCTCCCTCCGGATTTCAGGGGATAGCTGTGGGTGGGACTGCAGGCGAAGAAGCTCTAGTAGGGCCTCCTTCTGTTCTGTGGTCAGATCAGCTTTATAGCGCTGAGCCAGGGTCAGCAGGCTCTGGTGCCAAAGAACAGGCAGCTTTCGCTGCTCTGTCCGGAAGGCCAGGAAGTGGAAGACCAAGGCATCCAGTACCCGGAAGGGCAATGCGTACTTCTTGTCCAGCAGTAGCCGTAGGAAGATGCTATTGGCTCCACTGTATTCCATCTCAGCAATTTTCAGCATGGCTGCACTGAAGGGGAAAGGAGAAGCAGGAACAACTGATGAATATCTCTGTGCCACTGATACCTTAAAGGGTTTTCAGTTGGGAAGTAGCCTGAGATAGAGTGGACACACTACAGAAGTACAGACCTTGAAGCTTAAAAGCAAACCAGAGACAAAAATTTGGCTAGGATGGAGAAAAGGGTATTATTGACCGAAAATTCTTAGGAGCAAGAAACACTAGTGCCTTACATTGGGTAATTAAATAAATAACAGGAACAGATTGGTACAATAGAATCAAGAAGACTTGGGTTGAAAAGCCTAGAAATACTGCTGCTGTCACCTAAGTACCTGTGTGACCCTGGGCAAGTCTCTCTGGCCCTCAATTTCCTTATCTATAAAATGATGAAACTGGACTAGCTGGCCTCTAAGGGTCCTTCCAACTCTAAATCTATGATTTTATGATCTCTGGGCTTACATTCTGAGGTTACGGCATGTTCTCAGATTCTAAAATCATAGGATTTATGTCTGAAAGTGAACTTAAACACTAAGAGGACTGGAATTTAAGAATACCTTGAAGGACCAAGCTGCATCAATTGAAGCAGTGCATTTTTAAAAAACACATAAGACAAACAAAATGGATGGTAGGACAAACATTTTTATTTCAAAGTAAAGTTATAATGTTTTTGCATCAATTGACACACCTGGTCCTTCTAGTGTTAAAGACTATATAATCCATAACCCTTTCATTTTAAAGATGAATAAACTGAGGCTCGGGGCAGCTAGGTGGCGCAGTGAATAGAGCACCAGCCCTGAAGTCAGGAGGACCTGAGTTCAAATCTGACCTTAGACCAAACACTTGACACTTACTAGCTGTGTGACCCTGGGCAAGTCACTCAACCCCAACTGCCTAAAAAACAAAAACAAAAACAAACAAAAAAATAAACTGAGGCTCAGAGAAGATAAGTGATTTCCCCAAGGTAATAAACTGGGATTTCACAAGGCAGGCCTTCTGACTTCAAATCCAAGGCTTATAATATAACACTTTACAGGTTACAATGCATTTTATACCCATCATCTCATTTAATCCTTGTGTCCTTATCTCCCTTCCTGCCACTGTTTATACTAGAGAGTAAACCACCCAAAGGCCAGGCTGGGGTGGAATGAAGAGGAGCCGGTGGACTCTGTACTCTCCGGTCCTGCAGCACGTCTTCACCGGGTCATTTTATACTAGTTGGCTGCCTCTTTGAGACCTGTCATCAAATCACCGCTACTTCCAGAAAGGGCATGTTCACAGACTGTTCTATCGTTTCCCTCAGCACCTTTGTGAATTGCCAACCCTTGCATTGTTCCTTGGCCTCCACTCGCCTGTATGTGTAGTCTCCTCCGTTGAAAGTGAACCTCCTCCAGGACAAATGCCTCAATTCTGCATTTGCATCTTTAACGCTTTAACACAGTACTTGGAGCATAGTAAAGAGGGAAGGGAAATATAGGCATTTTTTAATTGCCTACTATATGCCAGGCATTGTGCTTAACCCCTTTGTAAATGTCTCATTTGGTCTTCACACCAACCCTGTCCGGGGTCACGCCAGTGTCTGAGGCTAGATTAGAATTCGGGTGTTGCAGCAGCTAGGTGGCGCAGTGGATAGAACACCAGCCCTGGAGTCAAGAGGACCTGAGTTCAAATTCGGCCTCAGATACATAACACTCACTAGCTGTGTGACTCTGGGCAAGTCACTAACCCCAAATGCCTCACCAAAAAACAAACAAACCAACCAACCCCTCAGGTGTTCCTGACTCTAGGCCCAGTGCTCTACCCCCCAACCACCAGCTATTCATTCAGTCTCATCCTCGTGCTGCCCTCTAAGGTACAGCAAATATTTTCCCCTTATTTTGCAGATGAGGAAACGAAGGCACAGCAGAGTCAGAGGGCCTGGGTTCAAGTGCCAACGCTGTTACTTACTACCTAAACAAGTCATTTCATTTTTGGCCTGAGTTTCCTCATGTATAGATGAGGAAAGAGCAGGTAAGTGGTGCAGTGGGATAGAGCACCGGCCCTGAAGTCAGGAGGACCTGAGTTCAAATCCGGCCTTAGACACTTACTAGCTAGCTGTGTGACCCTGGGCAAGTTACTTAACCCCCATTGCCTCCAAAATTAAAAAAAAAAACAAAATAAAATAAAAAATGTATAAATGAGGAAGTTGGACTAGATGACTCCTGAGGTCCCTTCCTGCTCTAATCTTTGACTTGCCCATAGTTCATTCAGCCAATAAGCCTGGACTTAAATAGAGATAGTCTGATTCCTAATTTGTTCTATCCACTGAATGGTGGTGCTGCTGCCTCTCAATGACACACTTAATAAAGCTAAGCCAGTGGGTTAAATATTCAGTCACGGGAGAAGCTGAAAGAAGTGAGCTCTGACTCACACCTTTGACCCAGCCCTGTACTTTGCCCTGCATCAGTTTCCCTATATGAACTGTGTGGGGAACCTGGCTAACCCTACCCCTGAACTGTCCAGGATGTTGGGAGCACTGATGGACACAAAAAGAAAGGGCAGCTGTGAGGAGATCAGGACAACAGCCCCCCAGTACCTTGAGTGCAGCACAGGGATGGAGCACTTGGTGATGATGCTGCCCACAATGATGGCCTCACGAAGGGTACAGGTACCAGATTCACATAGGGGTATCAGGATCCCTGGGGAGTTCAGAGAAAGGACTGTTAGTAAGGACTGGGAACTGAGGGGAGAAAGTACTTGGGGAGAGAAATGGGAAGTCAGTCCAGTGTTTAATGGGAATTCTGCCCTGAACTCCAGGAACCAACATACCCACCTCAGAAAGGCCTACTCTAGGACCTACCTTTGAACCATGCCCCAGTCTTGAACAATGCTTTCTTGAGTGCCATGTAG